TCTGTTTATTATTAGCAGTTTTTACTAATTGTGCAATTTTCAACAGTAAAAAGGTTAAGATTACCTCTATCATGAGTTTGATAACTTCATTATTTTTTATGTACATTTAACACCTTAATTTTAATACACCCAATATGTGCAGTCTATGAAACTGTTAATATACCTATGAAGGAAAATCCCCCACGAAAATCTTCCCTCCACCAAATTAACAGAAATATCTATATTCTTCACGAGGACTGCTGTTGCCATTGTCGCTGGTCACTTTTTGTGTGGAAAATAGCAAGGTTTGGAAAAGTCACGAAATACAGGGAAAATGTCACACGTTGGCAGTATGGACACCTCTGCGTTCGATCAATTGCAACTGAGTCTGCTGTAGTATGTTGAAAATTTTACATAATTCTTGCATGGAACTGAACATTTTTAAATTATGCTGTTCCAAAATAAGGATAGCAATGTTTGTAAAATGTTTTTCTTCTACTATTTGTTTTACTACAAGAATAAGTGTTGTGCCAGTAATTATTTTAACAGTTAAACATTTCCCTGCCACCTGTAACAAAATCAAGAAAATTCAGGCGGCTGATTCTTTTTGCTTTTTTTGCTGCTGTAAATTGGGAATTTCTCCATTGTGAGACAGATAAAGGTTTTCTTATCTTATTGACAAACAGCAGCATGCCCAGCTGATATTCAGTACAGCTGCTGTAAAGACCTGCTCCACAACTACCCAGGATGTGGGGATGCAGGTTTACTGAGTGTTAAATTTGCCAGCCTCGTGAACTTTACGCCTTTCACTTTCCTCCAGTCTGCATTGTGGGTGTTAAATTAACTCTTCTGCTTGCTGTCGAGTAGTGAAGTGTGACCTCCAGTTAATATAAATGATGATGATTTAATGCGAACATTTAGATTGATTGAAGAAAATAAGATACAAGCCGACACCATTTGTAATGATCACAATGTCCCGTTTCACATATCAGGAAGTACATTTTGTGTTCATTTAATGCTGGTTTTCCAATACTTTTTTTTTTCTTTCAATCGTCTCAAACCAGGCCTGTGATGAGTGTCGATATTGAGAGTAATCATGCCTCCGCGTTCTTGGAGATGTAAGAGCTGCAGATTTTTGTTGAATTTTTAGCCTTGGACTAGTTGCGCATTCCTCGAACCATGAGCGTGACAATGCCTGTACCCCGCCTTGATTGGTAACTTCCTCAATTAATCAAGCTGTTTTGGGTGGTGTAATAACTCAACTTGACAGACTTAATTGATCTTATTGTGGGTCACGAAGCTCAAATGCCCTCTGGGTATTTTGACACAAAGGCAGACAGGAACGCAAGAGCTTTGAAGAGAGGAGTTAAGGTGCCAGCTTCAATCTGGCAACGCACACATCTGAAGTGGGAAGTGTCAAATGGGAGGCAGCAAGGCCACTGGGTGAGCAATTGCTATATGCTTAATCATCTCAGTACAGCAAACTTTTTTCTTTTTTATTGCAGAAACATAACACCCCAATCTGACCGTCAATGTAGTTCAGAGTAATTTATGTAGATCTTTGTGTTTGATCTTATGTACATTGCCAGAAGAAATGTGCAGTAAATTGTCTAGGTCAGAGTTCTGCAACCTGCATTGTGGCCGTTTCATCCTTTTGCTGTGGCTCCCTGACTTTGGAAAATAAATTAGTTATTATTTGAACAATTTTTACTGACCTTTGATTTCAACACCAGTTATTAGTGTGTTCTGTATATGTATTTATTTAGCTATACAGTCATAACGGCCAGAAATGGGCATTCCGTCCCTGGGACAGAACGATCCGCCCGTCCATCCATTTTTGGGACGGAGGATGAGAAGTTTTTGAAAAAGGATGGATTACAAGCAAGGACGGAAATGTGGTGTCGGGAGGAAAAATAATAAACAGAGATGAAAGTCCTCCGGATTTTCCCGGAATTCCGGGTTTTTCAAATTTTTATGAAAATTTCTCCGGAGAATTGAGGAAAATTTGCATAATCCGGATATTAGTTGACAACATTGAACGAAGACGCGTTTGAGTTCGTTGTATTGCTTTCACGAGCGTAGCCATATTGAGGCACTAACACTAGTAACAGTAAAGAGATTTTTGTTTGTGTAATAACGACAGAAGGCATGATGGCGTTTGACTAATGGTTTAGTAGAACGAATGGCAACTCGCAACAACAGTAGCAAGCGTCATTTTGCCTCTTGGGTTATACCATCTCAACTAGAATGTGGGGGATAGTCCCCAAACAATTTTCGTCTCTTTATAAACACACCTGCTAAACCCCAGTGGAGCGAATAAAAGACGCCGTCAACAAGACAGTTGTCGTAAAAAATATATTTGGCCAAAAAGGGAAAAACACAGATTGGCAGAAAATCGTGTCCGTCCGACTTCGAGTGTCGTCTCGGCTAACTTAGCTTAGCTGTTGTCGTGTGTGACGTCATTTGCGTCGGCGCTGATTGGTTGAAATCAAAAGACGCGCTTGCGTACCTGTTCGCGCTGAAACACGCACAGCAAAGAGCAGCGGACTATCTACTGCTGAGGCTCACTTAGCTTGAGTGGAGTCGCCACAACAGTAATACCCTCGCCTCGCATTCTCATGGCCTCGCCATATCTTGGAGATTTCGAAATTTCGGCCCGAATGGAAGCCACAAAGGGTACACGTGTGCACACAAAAGGAAGATTAATCATTGAATGTCGAGTATTTGAATAGCGTTTTGTGAAAACTAATTCATGCTTGATCGGCCAAGTGTGCGCGTGTGTGTGTGTGTGTGTGTGTCACACACACACACACACACACACACACACACACACACACACACACACACACACACACACACACACACACACACTTATTTATTTATTTATTTATTCCGGAATTTTCAGAAAAGTCCACTTTCATCTCTGAATAAAGCACCAGTGTAGCAGAAAAACACTGGATTTTCTTAACAGGCCATTTCAAATTTGACGAGCAACTGTATGTGGGTCTTTTGGCATAGTTTCCTCTCTTCTTTTCTTTACTTCTTTTCCTCTCACCCATCTTTTTAATTCCCCACCAACTTAGAAATGCAGTGCAATGTCAACACAGCTGCCAGGACATTCCACTCCTTCCTTTCCAATTATGCCATGTTTTTGTGGGCCAGTAAAGTAATATAGGTGGTACTTCAAAACATTTTCCCAATGATAATTCCAGGGTTTCTTATTTATTATTTTTATTTGTTTTTTTTTGGTGGGGGGGATCATATTTGGATGTGCGTTGGAATTTGTTCACAGTGGTCCAATTCCAATCCACTTAAATTATGTCTCTTAGTTTATGGCAGTCTTCAGGCTGGATTTACACTGGAGGTCAAAGTGGCTAGTTCCCCATTTAATGGCTAGATCTATGTCATATTCTTTTGACTGTCAATTTACTAGATTTTACACGGTCATGGTTTGTGGGGCTGATCAGTGAGTTAAAAAAAGTGTCTTATTTTGTGGAGACAATCAATGACAACATTGATTTATCAATGGATTAAAGTCATGAAGACACCTGGGTTTGGACATTGAGAATTGAGAATCAAGTGGGGCTGGAACTAACATTCCGTTTCTCTTGGAATCGTTCAGATTTTAAAATGTCGGTGCTAAATTTAGATGCATTGTTAGCTGCGCGGAACAAGCCGCCGAACACGAACGAAAAATGACCACTCCATTACTGGAACCACGGTGCAGGGTCTGGCGGCTGGCTCGTTGGAGTTGCACGTCTCCGGGTCGCTCCTTTTCCTGGCCTGCTCCACCGCTCACTCCCCTGGATTCTGGACGCGTGTCAGGCCCTTCCCGTGGATCTCTCCGCTTGTGGTGCCTGCTGGGTCTCTACGGTGGCAGCAGTGACCCTTTACTGGGTCAGCAATCCTGCTCAAGTCGTCCCATTTGTGTAAAAAGTGTGGCCGAACTACGCTGAACTTTATTAGGAAAAAAAAGTCTTCTGTTTAGTGCAACACACGTCATTAAATAATGAGGCTGCACTCGAAATATGATAATACATCTCCACTTGTCTCATGTTTGACCTTCCTGTGCTGCCTCTCACTTCAGCAGTGACACTTGGCCTGGTACAACTCCGACAGCGTCAAAGTCAGAATTGGATAATTATGTCCAATGCCAACATTGAGCCAAGTTAAACTGGCTAAACCAATGGTAGAGCACGCAAATGCACAGTTAATATTCATCATACAACATGCGCAGCATACACAGCATATCTATCGATTGATCTCTCTCTCTCTCTCTCTCTCTCTCTCTCTCTCTTTTGCATATTTAGTTGACAGGAGTCAGCATCATAAATTTTGTTGGGATTGACCCTTGAGCATCTGTGAAAGTGTGAGCACTTTGACGCACTGGAACCATAAACTGTGTGTCTGAACCTACTTTTACCAAAGGTTTCTCCAAATTAATTTAGGTACCATTTTGTATGTGCATCTATGAAAAGTTTATGCTATTTAGATCACCAACTTGCAGTGGAAAATGTGTTTGGGCTGCATGCCAGAACATGCAATTATGCAGCACCATAGCGTACACTCGTATCCAGTGCACTCACCTCAGCGTGACCTATTTTCTTAGAAAAAAGAAATACAGTGATGTGAAACTGCTAAAATATTTGTAATCCCCATGAAAGGATGCTTGGAGGAAATCCAAGTTGATGTAGTGATGTTGTGTCATTATCTCAGTTTCCAGAACAGTGGTGCCTGCTTTAGCTCTTCAGGGTGCAATGTGAGAGGAGAGAGCTTCACACAGGGAGTGTCAGATTCGCAGGCGTGACACCGGATCCAATTCTCTTGAAACCGCACACCCGCTGCACTGTGTTAGTTGCTTAATTCGAGAGGTTGGCACCGCAAACACCTCCGTGGATTTAGGGGAGAAATTTTCCGCCCTGAAACATTGTCCAGTGATGAACTGATTAACTCCTGATTGTTTCACCTCATGCTGCAGTTAGAGGCCAACGAGTATCTCTAACTTGTGTTTTTATCCTCAGACAGGGGAGAAACGGATTCAAGGCCTTAACACCATGGATATGGACACTCAACCACAAGGACAGCAAGCAGCCGTGCCAGTCTTTCAGCCACAGGTAGAGACCTAGACAGTCTTCGTCTTGCATCCCTGTATTCGTACTTGTAGCCTATGATATTGATATTCTCAATCAAACTTAAGCATGATAAATAACTAATGTCAGACTGTGCGTACGGGTGCCTCCTACCAAGAACATTTAAGAAGCATTATCAGCAATGATGCATTGAGTTAAGGGCGATTAAAATTAGATTGCAGTAGATTGGAGTATTCATCCTGCTTCACATTGTGTGCATTTGAGCCGTCTTGCCTTCACTCTCCCTGTATAATTTAACATGCTCCTTTCTTTCAATGATACTTGAGATTGTGGCAGCAATTGCATGAGACAGGCAGCAGTGGATGAATGCCGAGTTGCTTCTATTGATGAGAACTCTGGAGGCTGGCAGACCCGGGCCTCCCTGCATGCACTTCTCGGTTCGATAAACTGCGGTTTGCTCATTGCAGATCTGGTCGCTGTTGGAATTTACAGCCGTCCTTCAACATCAGCTCTATTGATTTCTTTCCAGAAGGATGTTTTTGCCTCCATAACTATTGAATAGAGTTTAAACAAGGATGTTCATCCATACGCCCCAGAGTAAATGTGGATTTTGGTTGCAAAAGAAACAACACTAAAAATAGGCCCTGGTTGTTGTTTTCCTTGTGTATGTGAGGGCATTACAACATTAATGCTGGAATTGCCAAGGGAGTCAATTTATTCTAAGTTTTGTAATTGCAAAATTAAGGATAATTGGGTTGCCCGCATAAGAAACTCGGATAAAAGCTCTCATGATTAATTTGACTTTAGGCAACCCCCCATACACACAAACACCAGATCATCTGCGGATCCCCCAGATGTTGATTATGTATTCTTTTTCCAGGCTTAATGACACACACTGGTTTTCAAGCTATTTCTAGTGTTTTTCACTGGTGGTAATTCCAGTCCTGCGCTTTGTGCTAATCTTTGGCTGTTTTCAGTGTTGCCCTCTGAACTGATTTCATATTCGGTGGGAGTTAAAGATAGTAAATTAGATTGCAGTGCAACCTGCCTCCAGACGGGATGCATTTCAACAAGTCATGGATCTGTTTGCGCTTTCCCAAGGTTCAATAAACTCTGGGGATGGGGTACCATCCTGATGAAGAAATTGTATATGCAACGAAGGACATTCTGCATCGCTTGCAACATATAGTAGTTTTTCTGTGTCCCGGAGGTGTGTTGCATATGCATAAGGTAAACGAAATGAGCTGGTAAGATGTGCATTTTTAATGGTACGTTTGCTCTTCATGTGAGTAGCGTGGTTGAGGAGCAACACCCCATCCCCACCACCACACCCCTATTCCATTGTGATTTTGATCGTGGCTGCACAGTTTGACAGACACAGGTCTGTCTGTAAGCGTGAGACGGGTTGAGAGGCGAACGAGAAGCACCTTTGGGCTGAATCCTGGCGTTTTGGCTGCCTGGTTGGCTCACTGGCTGGGGATGAATATTGCATGGTGCCGTGCTCAAGGGGGCTCGTGATGGGTGAGAGTGGGTGTGAGCCCCTCTGCCTGCCAGTCACTGTCTCTTCCTGTTGTCCTCACTGTCTCTTTGGAGTCGATGTGCACGTTAATCTGAACGACAACACTTCAATGAATCTATACTCAAGTGTACAATATCTTTGGGAGGTTATGATTTAATTTTGTCTCATGTTTACAGCAATGAACACGTAAAACACTACCTTACCTAACAAGTAAACTACAATTTAAGCGGCGTTCACACGGCAGACATTTACATCGGTGCTGCACCGATGTATTTTGTTGCGATATATCTTACACCGGTGTAAATTTTGTGGAGCGTTCACACGAATAAAGCTGCTTACTAAAGAGAAGCGTGTTAACCCCGGCTACACCGGTATAACTTTGTACGTTTGAACGATCTACGGGGGGCAGCACCGGTGCTACACCGGAGTAAAAGTTGCCGTGTGAACAGCCCTATAAATGTGGTTTAATGCGAGATACGAGGTAATAATGGTTCAGTTGGTGAAACTTCTACTGCTTTCATCAATGAAAAGTTACATTAAATGCACACTGTAAAGCAGGGCTGTCAAACTAATTTTTTGTCGCGGGCCACTTCGGAGTTACGGCTTCCCTCGGAGGGCCGGTGGAAAATCTCGTTATTTACCCATGACAATTTGACATTTCGGTATAGATTTCAGCAAGAATCATGATAGTTGACGCACATGATTTGCTCCCGAGGGCCACATAAAATGACGTGGGGGGCCGGATCTGGGCCTCGGGCCTTGACTTTGACACATGCACTGTAAAGTGTTCAGTCATCACATTTTGTAAAAAGTACTCAACAAAGAAGTCAGTAATTTACCTCAAAATATAGCAAAGCAATCGCTCATTACCATGCCGTTGTTGTAGGTATCCACACAGTGTATCTCCAACATATAGGTATCAGTATAAAGCTGATGATTACCTTTTGCTAATTTTGTACTCCTTTTAATCATATGTCATTATGAGCTACAGAATAGGCCGGGAATCTGCAACATTTTCCATGATCTCTAGCATACTGAAGCACCCCAGCTAACCACCAGCGGTGACTTTCCCATCAAAGGCAACACAGGGACTTTGAAAATAGGTCGGAATGTGCTAATATCGATCGATTTTCATGAGGTTTACTCGTTTGTCCATGCCAAAGGGTGTGCTGCCAATCTAAAGCGTTTGAAAAATTGTTCCCAAATTTTTTTTTTTAATAATCTGTGGAAGCTTACTCCCAGTTGCCTCGTAATAATTGTACGACGTTGTCCGCGACTGTTTGCCGCACTATCTACCTGCATCCACATGGCTGATGACTTTGACCCTGGTGTTTCCATTATATCTGTGGTGATGATGTAGTAATGATGTTCGGATCAGCATAGCTTCAATGGTTGATATATCGTTTAGAAAGCTGAGACCATTCTCTTTTTGATTCTGTCAAAACCTCATTTTTGAAATATTGGCAAAAAACAAAACAAAACAAAAAACAATGGATTTTTGAATTCAGTTGAGTTTTGTCCAGAAAATGTTCAACTTCTGTCTGACCCTGTTTTGTATTTGACCCGTAAGCTTTTAGGGGATATGGCTCAGGTAAAGATGAATTCCTTGAATAAAACTATATGCAGTACAATTTTGGTGCTGATCAAACTGATGTCATTGGCCTTGGTCTATTTTCCAAGAGTTTGTTCCCCCCCTTCCCTCCCCCAACTGGAATTTTTGCAAAGATTATGAGAAGTGTTTCAATTGGTTCACAACTGTACCTACGACTTGAAGGTTTTCTTTCTTTTTTTTTTTTTCCTTCACCTGGGCAGTGGGCCAGTGTACTTTCAAAATTAGCCAGCATGGTGCTGATGTACTTGAAGTGTCAATGTCCGCCTGTCTGTCCTCTCTGCTGCTGTTGGCCTTTCTGTGGCAGCCGTTGGCACTGCCGAGCTGTCACATCAAACCCACTCCTCCTCTGCTGCTTGTCTCCCCTCGATCGCTTCCCTCGTCTCTCGCCTTGCCCCGTCAACTCTCCATGTGTCTTGTCAGCTGTTTTTGGAAATGGCGTCATTATTGGTCAGCCTGTATCACACTTCGTCTGAGTTTTCTCTCTCTCTCTCTCTCTCTCTCTCTCTCTCTCTCTCTCTCTCTCTCTCTCTCTCTCTCTCTCTCTCTCTCTCGCTCTTTCTGACCCACCATTCCTCCCTCCCTCTTCCTCCGAGATGCTCATGGCAGTTATATGTCACGTTTTTACCCATGACATACTGTCCCTCAAAAATACTACTACCCATAATGCCTTTCA